TAAGGTATCAAGACACATCCCTTGATAATAAGATATCTCATTTCATGCAATTTAACCAATTTTACTTCCTTGTTGACAATATGAAATGCTAATCATATACTTTTTTTTTTCAAATAGGAATTAGATTTACTTTTTTTTCTATTGTCTAAACTACTAACATACTAATTTGATAACATGTCTAGAATAAATAATTAAAAAAAAATATCATTGGTTCAAAGAATATGTATCATTTTGCAATCTTAGTTTTAACGCAATACGATTATTAACCATGCGGGAGAAAAGTACATAAAGTGAGCAGAAAGAAAGATAGTTTCCATTAATGTTTGAGGAGTATACAAAATAAGGCAGTTATCCAAACAGGACGGCAATACAAAGCATATTGTTTGGCCGACGGCCACAAAAGATGTACTTAACAAAATAAATTGTCTAACTAAACCCCTGAATGTATATACAACCTATTCCAAATCACCAATCCGGCCATCCTCTTCCACCCCCTAGGAGCTTCTTCAACTTCATCATACATGTTCTAGATGGTAGAATCGAAAATTACTCTTTCACACTTTGTTGTTTCACTTTGTTCACTTTATTGTTCTCCTTATAGTTGTTTCTTGTTTCTTTTTCTTTAGAGTCCAAACCGAGGGGATAGACACTGGTCAAAGAGACTCTGGCGCTCAAGTCAGTTTTAGTTATACTGATCGGTTATTACAGTTACGCATTAAATGTCCAATGCAATCACCTACCTCTTTATCTTACCTATGTATTTATAGATTTCGGAGTGAGCTTTTAATTAGGGTCGACCCAATTATAGCCTAATGCCTCATAAGTATGTTTTATCTTGTTAATAATGTTGAGTTTGTAGTATCCTTAATATGAAGTGTGACAGTTGGTCATCAATGAGGTTGACAACCGATCGGTCTATGATATTTTGGAAGTTCTAGAGAATTGACCGACCGATCGCTTTCGGTAATACGTTGACTGGGCGGTTTATACGGTACAATACATGATCCCAACATGTTGGTCATCCTTGTTGGGAATCCAAGTGTAAGTCTGAGTTCCATATTGGATAGTGTTAGAATAATTACTGTTATATATCATCATTAAGGCTTGTCTGCTAGACCATTAATGAGTCGTACCTAGTTCTGTACCTAGAGGTCTAGTGCAGGCTCTTGATGTTCCATGTACTCTTGTGTTTTCAATATATATAGAAGATAATGAAAGGGATCAGTTAAGCCCTCAAGAATATATTTTATCAGTTTTAATCTCAAGTGATAGAAATGAGAAATTAGAGCACTATATAAAGATGAAAGACTCATTAACCCATAGTCTTAAGGTTTTGGGTAGAGAGTGGTGCCAACCCTTTATATGGTTGGGCTCCAATGTTATTGGTGTTTGTGTCTTTTCGGTGAGCCTCCTCCTCATTAGACCCAACAGTAGTATCAGAGCTAGTTTGTCTTGGTGATCGATTCAGACGAGTATAATGGTCCTTATAAAGAAAGTCACGTTAAGATGAACGGCAGTATGAAGGGCTACTCGTGGTTGTGATTGGTTGGTTGGGAATGCTTCCACTAGAGGGAGAGATTGTTGGGAATCCAAGTGTGAGTCTAAGTCCCACATTGGATAGAAATAAGAAAGTATAGCACTATATAAAGATGAAAGACCCATTGACCCATAACCTTAAGGTTTTGGGAAGAGAGTGGTGTCAATCCCTTATATGGTTAGGTTCTAATGTTATTGGTGTTTGTGTCTCCCCGGTGAACCTCCTCGATAGACCAAACAATCCTTTTTCTCCTTAGACTAGATGCTCACCAATTGTCTATCCATGCTCACCAATTGTCTATCCACTACCTGCTTCATCACGTCAAAAGTCATATGATCCGTAGGAATGTTGAAGAAGTGTTGCTTGGCCTTCTCGCAACCAGAGTAAGCCTTGGTTGCTTCCTCTAATTGTTTGGTAAGGTCTTCATTGGCCTTCTTGGTGGCTTCCCGTTCCACCTTAGCAGCCTTCAACCCCTCCTCCAGGGAGGTTGTATCTTTGTTGTCGAATTCAGACGCTCGAGCCATACAAATATCAATCCGAACGGTCAACTCGAAGGTTGCTTCCAGAGCCTTCTCTTGGGACAGCTTTTTAACCCATCCCTACTTATCCCTTGGGAGATCGAAGTTGGCCCTCACCCCTGCACGGAACCTAATATCGAATGGTCCGCTAGACAAGGACCCTGAGGGAGCAGCCTCCCATCGGCTCTTCTTTTGTGAGGAAGAAGATATCTCGTTATGAAATTTACTCTTCCCCTTATCTTGAGTAGTTGGGGAGATGATCGTGATGGGTATTGGTTGAGGGATAGCCAGAGTTGAAGGTCGAATCGCTCGTTGATCCTATTGTGCAAGAGCTCTTTCATGCGCTTTTTCCACAACTGGAGGGCGCTTGGATGTGAGGGCCAATGTAGAAGTCGGGCGAGCACTAGATGTACCCTCTCCAACAACTTTTCCAGCAGCCTTACACTAGGCATCAATCTTCGCGAATGCATTACTCTTTGGATTCAGGGACGACATTATTCCTGAAATAAAACACGAAATTTAGCCAATTTAACAATTATATGTTAGAAAACACAATACAATTAAAACCTTATCGAACACTCTATTACAAAGGTCCTCAGAGTCTACGAGGTTGATGAGACCTTCAATGAGGTAGTTGGTCAATCAGGCTAACTGCTTCTATCTCTCCGAACGTCATCATGGACTTAGCCCATGATGTTAACTTCCTTAGGTTCTTCGTCCTGTAAAAGGGGAACATCGCCCGATTGGCCTTTATGTAAAATTTTAACTAACCGACCTTCGTTATTCCTACCTTAAGATAGTTTCTCTTGAATCCTTTGAAGGAGTCAATGAATAAGGTGAACAACCACTTCCTTTTCTCGGAGATTAGAAACACCCAACCCCTTCTCTCTGTGGGTAGGTACGAAAGAAATATAGAAAACATGGAGGAATAACAGTGAGATCAAGAGCGTTACAGACCACCTTGAACTCCTGCATGAATGCTAGTTGTTCGGGTTCAATTGGGTGGGTGCCAAGTTTAACTCCCTCAAGACGTCCATTTAGAAGTCATTGAAGGGTAATCAAACGAGTAGGTCCTTGAAAAGGTAGGAGTAAGCATAAAAGAAATACAATTATTCTATAGATTTTACGGTCACTCTTCAAGATGATTATACTTAATTCTGAATAACTTATGAAAAAACACGATTAGTATTAATTTGGCCACAATAATCCAAAGTTGATTTTAAAATCTATAAATTTAAGTTTGAAGTAAAGAGGTAGATAACTGTTAAAACTGTCGAATCTTTACTAATTTTAGTATCAAAATACATTGTGCTAATAACCTCCTAACTTAATCGAATAAGATTTCAAGATAAAGAACAATGAAAACAAACACTTGAACATTTAGAATTTAATTAACAAAAAATTTGATTAAGTGTATATTTGGATGAAGTAATTTAAGAAAATAATTTATTTATTTAAATTATCTAAATTTTTGTAAAATAAAATAAACTCTTTGGCAAGAAAATCAAAATGAAATCAAATTTAATTGTTGTAAGACACTTCAAATAAATAAAAAAATGTGTAATTACAAAATCACTTAATAAAGAAGAAATTTCCTACTTCATATTTCCTCGCACTCGCTCTTACTTTCAGCTTAAGTTCTCTTTGTTCTCTAGAGCTGTGTGTGCTCTCATATCATAGCAAATATTATTTTCTCTTTAGTTAATTATTTGGTTACTTTATCTAGTCTAATAGTTTTCAACTTATAGTAATTGTAAGTTTGCATAAATGATTGAGACTCCCTTAATCAGATTGATGACTACTGTTTAACTAAAAATTATTTTGAGCAATTTAGTCAAATTATTTGTTTGATAAAAAGCCTAAGCTAATATTACTGGTAATTTTAATATCGTACTTCAGATAGTGAGTACGATAGTAAAGTTTTCTTAGTGAACTAAAGGGTAATTATCTACCTAGTTAATAAAATGTGAACTTAGCATAATCAATAAAATGTGAACTTAGCATAATCAATTGTGTCAAGAACTAATTTATTAACCCTTTTATTACTATATGAAATTTTAAAATGAAATTTTGAATAATGAATTATTTTGACTTATTTAATAATGAATTATGTTTTAACATGTCAAGTCAATTTAGTGATTAAGTGAGAAACTAAAGAAGTTCTGTTGCGAAGCAAGATATCATGAACCACACTTTTTATGTAATTTTTATAACCCTTTGTAGGAATTAGATTTACTTTTTCCTCTTGTCAAATATTCTAGCATACTTAACTTGTGACAAAAATGTTTATAATACAAATTAAAAAAATTGATCATTATTGTACAACTTTTCATTTCAAGTTTCCACATGTCCCTTTTAGTGCCAGAAGAAATATAAAACAAAAGCATTCTTAATACCATACAAGAAAATATGTAATTTGAATGTTTGTAATTTAAAAATACTTGATAATTAAAATTTTCCCTTCAATAGTAAATCTTTTTGGGTGTCACCTGTCCCTAGATAATGTTAAACATTAGCAAAAGCTTTTTTAAAATTATTTATAAAAACTTTTCAAGTAGGACTGTCAAAAAGTGGATTTAACTTATTCGATTATCACAAAAAAAAACTATTTTACTAGTATTTCTAGCAAAAATAAAATAAAACATAAATTATAAACTAGATATTACATAAATTGTATGAATAAATTTTAACAAATTATTTTAGTTCATAAAAAACACTCAATTAACTTTGGAGATAGAAGTGTTCATGAAAAAGTTTTGGAACAAAGCCAAACCAAACTTGTACTAAATATTTAACCAAAAAGAGCAATAGCGAAATAGAACTGATTGAATCATTATACACACTACTAAACAATACTAACAATCTTTATTATTAGCCCAACAACAAAATAATAATAACAAAAACAAGATAAATAGGAGGCATCTAGAATCATTATAGCATACGTGCCAACGAATCAAAGAGGGCATTTAATTTTCATAAACTTGACATTATAATAAAAAAAACATACTTAGTTATATGCCATGAAATGTAAACTAATTTGCCATGAACTGTAAACTAATAACAAAGACCTAAAGGTAAATTTATCAAGCAGTTATGGTTTCTGCATTATGCAAACAAAAGATAGAAAACATATAACCTCTACCACAAATTGCACTACTGTTGAGCACATTGCACCCTGTGACCAGAAGGACCTTCATCTTCGTCTTCATCGTATGCCTCACGGTAATGGTGTTGATGTTTTCGTTTCATCTCCTCCTTGAAATTGACATCATGCAAAGTGGTCTCTTCACAGTCATCAAGCTCTGCATCTGAAATGCGCTTGCTGCCCTTCTGAGGTAATACCTTTTCCAATAACAGGCATTGATCAGGGGAAATAAACCCTGAGTCTGGGAATTCAACATTGAACTGGATGTAAAGCCGACCCCTCATGAATGTCTTCTTGTGTAGTGGCATTCCCTCATCATTTATTGCTTTAGATTGACCTACATAGTAGAATTTAAATACATAACTCAGAAAATTGAATATCAAGGTAGATTGAAACTAAGGATGGCCATGTGAGGCTGGTAAAGTGTGGGCTGAGTATTTTTAGTCTGGCCGATTAAGTCCTTGTCGCATAATAGTCTGCACAAGCCAATGACAAACTAGCCCACGTTTGATTCACATAACCTGCATTACTTAAAGTCCTAAAAGCTAATTACTTAAATTCCTCAAAGCCAGCACAACATGTATACGTTTCTTTTAAAATAACATTAACATTTCATGCTTCTTTCCTTATTTCAGTTCACTTTAAAGTCATTTCTATTTTTAATAAACTTAAAAAATTATAAAATTATGAATAATATTTATTTTAAAAAATAGACTTATAAAAATTATTGTTTCTGAGCGAGCCAGCCCAACCTGCCTTTTGCAGGCTAAATGCAGGTGAACTAGCCCGCATTGTCATCCCTAATGAAACAACAGCTATCTATACTACCGAAATTTTTTATTACCTGGCTTAATGACTTCCCCAGGGTTTGATTTGATCAGTAATTGCCTGCCATCAAGATGTGTGATAGTAAACTGGAAGCCACAGAGTGCCTCACTTAAGCTGAGAGTGTGATCAATGAAGAGATCATCTCGCTCCCTTCTGAACTTTGGGTGCTCTTTCACTGCCAATACTAAAACAATGTCTCCTGTCAATGCGTCAGGCTGCAACAAGTAGGAGTTCATTTCAAGTAAGAAACCAACATTACCAACTCAGGGAAATACTTTCTAAGTGTTAACACAAATAGCATACAAATGTGACCACTTACAGCTTCATCAGCTTGTCCTTCAAAAACAATCTTCTGACCCTGCTGCATTCCCTCTTCAACATGCACCTCCAGTACCTTCTTTTCATGAGTAACCTTGTTTCCTTTGCATTGAGGACATTTATCTCTTTCGCTAATAACCTCACCTGTATCAATGAAAGATGAGATTGAGAAAACATCATAAAACAACCTGAAAAATATAGAAAACAAAGTTTTCATTACCAGATCCTCTGCAGTCCGGGCAGACATGTTGCATTTGTTGAATCATGCCTAGTCCTATCTGCCTTCTTGTGACCTTCATACCAGTGCCTTGGCAACCAAAACACCTACTAGTTGCACCACTTTTTGACCCATTCCTGAATTATCAATAATTGAATGTAAATGTGTTGTTATAGCTTATTATTTTTCAAATTCTGACAAAACATCAGCATAAAGATGCATGATTATAATCAAATAATAAATAAATAAATTCTACAAACACAAACTAATAGATTATAACAAGACTGACATGAACTAACATGTCTAATCAAAAGTCACATTGGATTAACCTACCCAGTAGTATCACATACTTTTCATATCCCCCAAGTGCAAATTCAATCATGAGTCAATATTAATAATTATCTTAATATATGATAAACATTAAAACTTTTTTATTGACATCTAAGACATAGACACAAACTAATAGCTGCAGTTGTGAGAGAACAGACAGGTGTGAGAAAAAAGAAACTGACTGTATCTGAAAGATAGGACAGAATTGTTGAAGTGATACCAAATACAGTAACACATATGATACTATATCTCACAATCTACACAGAAACAATCATTCCACACAATAGACCACAGAAGTGGCCCAACACCACAAATATAATGTCACTATAGCTGTAAAATCATGTGTAATAGCCAACCATGCACATGAACTAATACAGTTAAATACCCACATATCTCTTTTTCGGTTAAAAAGACATCTTAACATGCCCCATCTGGGATTCCACATGGACAGCATAGGAAATATTAACCATTACAAATTCTAAAAAGTATAGTTAACCTAATACAATATATTTTTTGGAGAAAGCAAGGTGGGAGAACATATTGATTACACTGTGATATGAAATACAAACATGTATTTATAAAAAATTTGCATTCTCAAAATAAATTAGATGTATAGGGAAATTATAAACACAAATATTTGCATACCATTTACACTGAATAAATTAGATGTACAGGGAAAATATAAACACAAATAGGTGCATACCCTTTACACTTTGGGCATAATACATTTCTAGAAAGAGATAGTTTCTTAGTTGCACCATTATAGACATCCTCCAAGGACACCTTTAAAGAGTGCACCACATCTTCACCATGTTTTTTTCTTCTGCCTCGTGAACTACCACCACCTAAGAAATGATAGCAATAGTGAGTTGGTTAATATTGCAAGATGATTCACAAATGAAATGAAATAACATAAATTTAAAAGTGAACATCTCACCACCAAAGCTTGATCCTCCAAAAAATGACTCAAATATATCAAATGGATTATGAAACGAGCCTCCTCCTCCTCCTCCCATCCCTTCTTTAAGGGCATCTTCACCATACTGATCATACAATTCTTTCTTCTCAGAATCACTTAAAACTTCATATGCTTGACCTAACTCCTTAAACTGATACATGAATCAAGTATTCGGTATTAAAACAGAATACAACATGAGGTTAGCAGGTTTTCAAGTACCAAGTGAATAACATATTTCATATAAACATACAGAATTAAAATACATAATATAGTTTGCTCAAGTTTTCTGCATGCAACACTAATATATCAAATAAGTTCACAATTTACAATATAAACTCATCTTATCAAGAGGTAAATGCAGAATCACTAGTATTAGATGTGTAAAGTTTATATGATCAAATCAAACTATGAACAGAGGTCCAAGTACATAGCTGTTTATTCAAATGGTATAATCAAAATGAAGTGTAACAAAATATTGCTTTTACCTTTTCAGGATCTCCACCTTTATCCGGATGATTCTTCATAGCTGCCTTTCTGTATGCTTTCTTGATTTCATCTTCAGTGGCATTCTTTGAAACTCCAAGAATATCATAATATTTAGAGTTATCACTCCTCCTAGGTCCACCTCGTCCAAACATGACTGCAGCACCTCAAAAAATCACTGCACAAGAACAAGAAATAAATTTTAAATTGAAAAAAAAAATCTTTTCAGCTCATGGGTGGGGTAGCTTAGCATTTCAATTCATTTTCTTTGCATGTTTACATTTACATTTATATTACAATACATCTCAGCCAGTGACACAATAGCAAACACTGTCACTTCTCAAGAGCATCTCGGCACCAACACCAAAGAATATAAATTGTTTCCTTAATTTACAATTCCAAGATACCTAACCCACAATCAACAAAGCAGAAAGAATTTTCTAAATTTCCACACCCAAATACGGAAATCCAAAATCCAGCCAGTGAACAGCCACGTCAGAAACCAAACACAAATTCAAAGACTTAAAAGACAAAATATATAAACAAGAAATAGGTTTAAATAAGGTAGTGTATAAATGTCAGAAATTTCCCAAGAAACATAAAGGGAGAAAAAAATTAGACATCATCGAATGAAGGTAGAGATCTAAGAAACTCAGCCATCAAGAACCTTATCGCAATTGAAAGAACTGGTGAACAGATCTGAACCCAGGACAACAATTAACTACCAACTACCAAAAGCTATAGATTGAGAAAAAAGAGAGAGCATACCACTCTCCGGCGTGATTGTGGTAACTCTTCTTTTCCTTGAAGGGAGAAGAAACCCTCAAAGAGAAAGGAAGAGAAAGGGAGAAATGGTTAGACTTTGTTTAATGTATTTATGGTGAATTGGGTTTAGAAAAGAAAAAAAAGAATTAAAAAAAGAAAAAAAAGGGTTTTGTTGGTATGCGGCCGAATTGCTAAAACCACCTTAACGTGGGGTTGGAAGAAGTAATAAACCAAACAGTAGAGTTGTTTGTTTGTTGATATCACTAAGGTGTTGGTTTTTGTTAAAAAGGTTGCTTAGTACCAAAGCACTTTACATGGTTTTGGATTCGATTGGACGAGGGTGCGGCTAGTTAGACGAACGTTGATGATCGATGTCTGACATACTCAAGCGTCAATTGGTCACGCATGGCGGCGACATTTAACCAAGTACTTTTCTCGATGCCTTTGATGTGACAACACTTTTATTTTTTTTAAATTATTTAATTTTAATATATATCTAGTTATTAATATTAAATATATATTAACATATAAAAGAATATAGTATGTGAGTATATAATTTTGAGAGTCTTTTTATGAATTTTGGGATCTGCTGTTTTGAAGGAAATAATACTCCTAATAAGGAAGTTTTAGGTATGTACAATATATATATATATATACATATATATGAAAGAAAATATATGAAATTGTCATAATTTTATATTTATTAGGCGTATTGGTTGGTATCTTAAAAGACTTTAATTTATTTTTTGAGTTATATGGAATTGTATTACTTTTAAATTTTATTTTAACTTTAAAACATTTATATTTTAATTAATTTCTTGTTGATTATAGTATATATTTTCAAAATGGAAAATATTTGTACTTTTATAATGCAGAATCTTATTTAATAATTAAAATTTTAAAGTTATTCTATGTAAATACTTCAATGACGATGTTTTATAAAGTTTATATTTTAAATTTATGAATTTACCTGTAATTTATGTAATTTACCTGTAATAATGAAAGAAAAATCTTTACATATGTCATATCATGTAACTCTTGTTTTAAGTTATGAGATTTTAATTTATTTTTTCTTTTATAATGTCATTTCTAAAATATTTTATCCAAATTTGTTCTATTGTAAATATTTTATAAAATTATATTTAATAACAATATCTTTTGAAATTTTTGAAAAGAGAGCTATTTTTAAGACGAGAAAGAAAATACATATTAGTTACATGATTCAGGATTTTAAATTTTGTCATATTAGACATTTTAATTGAATTATTTTATAAAAGTCATTTACAAGACAAGAATCAGGTTTTACACGCATGACTTAAACATATTTTGTCTAAAAAGAATTTTATTTTATTGAAGTGAAATTATAATTTCTTATCATCATGATAATCTATGTTAAATTTTATTAATACTGAATAAAAATAATAAAATAAAGTGATAAAATGATATTTTACTGTATTTTAAAATTACTATATTTTTTATTTTTAATTTATATAAATGAGATATTAAATAATTTTACATTAACATATTTTTAAATTTAATTTTATATTTTATATAAATGAAAATTTATTTTATATAAATTACATTTTAAAAGTTATGTTACATAGAAAAATATTATAATTTTAAATTTTAAACTATACATTATAAATTACAAATTATAAAGTGTAAACTGTAAAGTATAAATTATAAATTATAAACTATTAATTATAAATTATGGCTTTAAACTAAATTTTAAAATATATGAAAAGTAAGAATGGTCATTGAGGAATAAAGGGAAATAAAAATTACAAAAAATGATAACCTTACATGAGAAATGAAAATAGAAAAAAAATTACATAAAATCATAATTTAGTTACACTTTCATAGTTATTGTGACATTACTTTTCACAATAAATATAAATTTGTTATGTTAATTGTCTTAGTTTAATCAAATTGTGTACTTTAGTTATATGTGAGAGGTCAGTTTTTATAAATAATATTTCCTTTTAATTTTTCATTTTGTAAAGTGACAAGTTTTTCCTAACTTTTATTCAAAATTATTTAATATAATATTAAAAATTATAAAAAATAGTATTTAATTAATAATTTTTAAATCACAATGAATTATTTAATATTATTTTAACTTGAATTAGCTAATTATCTTTAAAAAAATACAAAATTTGTTCAGTATATATTAAGAATAATAAAAATATGGTATGATAAAAGATAATTGAAAATTTGATTGACACATGTATCATTACTCTTCATCATGAAATTATGAGAGAAATAAAATATAGATGATAATGATAGGATCAGAGAAAAACATAGAAGAAAAGAAGACAAAAACACATAATAAAAATAAGGGTTAAATATGTTTTTAGTCCCTAAACTATTGGCTGTTTCTGGTTTTCGTCCCTCTTTCAAAGTAAGGTACAATTTGGTCCTCATTCTTTTCGAAACGTTCGTTTTAGTCCTCGAAAACTAAACACTGTTTAAAAATTTGGTCCTCATTTAGCAACAAATGAGGACTAAAACCAAAATTCTGAGGACTAAAACGAACGTTTCGAAAAGAATGAGGACCAAATTGTACCTTACTTTGAAAGAGGGACGAAAACCAGAAACG